AGCATAAACGTACCTTAATCACGACGCTGGCCAGCTCGTCCTGATCATATGGAGTCTCGACCCTCTTCTTGCCAGCGAATCCTACTTCAATATCGGTTGATCCGACGTATGCCTGACCACCCTGACCGAAAGGATCATAGATCTGCACTTGCACTGAGTCGGTGAAAGCAATACCGGCCCAAGTTCGCTGAGGATCAGACATGCTGATATGACCCGGGGGAAAGCCATCGAGAGGGCGCGCAGAGAGAACGTAAAGGTCGTTGATGAGAAGAAGAAGGTCGTGTCCATCGCGAGAGGAAGGGAAGTCCTGAGTTGACACGGCGACTCTAAGAAAACTGTCAGAAGGTAGGACTTGACCTCGGATTGGCTCAAGTCATACAGATTTCCAAAAGTATACACATTGTCCGGGCTCTTTGCAGGCCGCAGCGTCCATGTTTGACCGGAGCTGGTGGGCTTCTCACTCCGTGGCGGCATGTGTGATGGGCTAGGTCTGCCCATAGACTGGGGTGGGGCTCCGTATCCTCCAGGACTAAGAGAAACAATGAGTTAGCAAGTCTTCGTCCGAAAGTAAGCCTTGCGTTCTTTATATGCGTACCCTGCAGCAGGATATCCACCCGGCTGGTTAGGGGCCGGGTAACCGTCACCACGCGAGGGGCGAGAGCCGAAAGGGTTGGGCACAGAAGGGTAGTTATTGCGATTAAACATATTTGCTCAAGAATGTAAGAGTGTTGCGCAGACAGCAGATGAGATATAGAAGTAGGTAATGGCTGACTGTGCAGTTGAGCGCGGGGGAGGGGCGATTAGAGTGTTGCTGCCGGCAGCTGTGGCACAAGTTCAACTAATATAGAATAAAATTTGAATGGTATAGACAAAGTGAATAATGGCTTTGAACAACTGACTGCAAAGTATAGTGTTTGTAAGGTGGGAGGAAAACCAAGTATGAGGGAATGAGAGTGGTAGGAGTGGCGGTTGTGAAGTTGGGGGAAGCTCCTTTCGCAACACATGGACGTAACCGCCAGTTAAGGTACCGTTGCTTAGTCGATCGGCCCGGCGGGCTTCCGTTTTCGCCGATCTCTATGACGACTTGTGCTCGAGCAATCCACCTTTCCAGTTCCAAAATATACTTGCTCATCAAGACAAGATGCCGCTGTAAGTCTTTCATTCTTATTCCTCTTTGCTTTTGGGTTGCCAAAACTGATATGAATCCTCATGATCCAGACACCTCCTCGGCAAGAAGTCATGGAACGTCTACAACCCAGAGAACATCGCTCGCGTCCGGCGCGACGAGGCACAGGCCAAAGCTCGGGAGGAAGAAGAGGAGCGTCGCATGCAGGAGGTCGATGCCGAGCGAAGAATTCAAATCCTGCGCGGAGAACGACCCTCAACTCCCCCTCCACCGCCGCCCGAGCCTTCTGACTCTTTTGCCGACAAACACAAGTCTTACTCAGAAGATGCGGCGAGGCGCAGGAAAAGGAGACGACTGGCTGGTGAGAACGACACGGATAGAGATATCAGATTGGCCCAAGAGGATGCAAAGATAGCGCTGGACGCCCAGGACCAGCAGGCTCGTGTCCGTTCAAGCGATGCACCCCTTCACGATAGCTCCGGGCACATTGACTTGTTCCCTGCGGGAAAAGCCCGCAAACCAGTCGAGAAGAACGCGGAAGCTGAGAAGGAATCTGCTGAGAAGCAACGAAGACTAGAAGATCAATATACGATGCGCTTCTCTAATGCAGCGGGTTTCCGGCAATCGGTCAATCAAAACCCCTGGTATTCGTCTTCTCGAAATGATACGCAACCATCAGAATCCCTGCCAAGCAAGGATGTCTGGGGCAATGAGGATCCTCGAAGGAGAGAACGGGAAAAGGCCAGGTTAGATGCCAGTGACCCTCTAGCAGCGATGAAGAAAGGTGTGCAACAGCTCCGGTCTGTTGAGCGCGAGAGGAATAGATGGAACGAGGAACGAAAACGAGAGCTTGAGGATATGAAATTCACGGAAAGGCGCCGGTCGCATCACCGAAGAAGACGGTCTCCGTCGCTAGATAGCCTTGAGGGCTTCAGGCTCGATGCTCCTTCAGATAGCCGTCAGAAACATCATGATAGAAGCTCCCGTCGACATCATGATCGCAGGGACAGAAGCCGAGATCGCTCGCATCATCGACATTCACAGCGTAAGTCAGACTCTCATTCTCATCGCCATGACCGCGATAGACGGGCGGAATCGAAAACTCGAGTGAGATGAATTTGAGCATTCACAGTACGAATAATATGAATATTACTCGTCATTATACGATCATGGTGAGGGCGACTCTTCTCCCAGCATCTATTACAACAATTTACAAAAGAAAAGTCACCGTGTTCAAGCCTGGAACTCTTCGTGATCAACGTAAACACAATTCTATTGTTCTTTACCGCATCGAAGAGACTTGGAGATTGAGATCTATGGTATTTCATGGAAGGAGGATCACCATGCGTGTTTGGTTCACTGCAAACTCCACAGCTGAGAGCCCTTCTCATTTTCAGTATCCCACTCAATACTGATGTCCAATGACCGTGATCCTGCCTCCTTCTTCTGGTAACCAACCTTACCAGTGATCGTTTGGCCCTTCTTAAGGGGAGCAGCCTTCTTCTTCTCCTGATCGATGAGGCAGATGGTTTGCTGCCAGTGTGTTTCAGTGCCGTGAGGCCCGGTGGTGAAAGCAACGATGCCCTTCTTCTGCATATCAGAGGGGATCGCATCGTCCGCAAGGGGGGAGTCCCTGGAAGGCATGAAGAAGATGTCGAACCAGATAGCGAAACCATCAAGAGCATCAATGTCTTCGTTGAGAGTGACCTTGAACTCCTTCAAGAAGGACAGCTCTTCAACTGTGATGGTATGCAGCGGAAGAGGTAGGAAGACATCAGAATCTCCAGGAATCGATGACGGCGGTACACTACGGACGAGCGCCTCATCGTAGATACCAGTAAGCATACTCTTCATGTTGAAGCCGTAGACACTCTTCCAGAATGTGATGTGCGACGAAATGAATTCGGAGTCCGCGAATGGGGCGATGCGGAGGGTAGCATGCGAAGGAGCCATGAGACCTCCGGGGGCAAGGTAGCGGTCCCGAGCATAAATTACCGAGTCGAACATGGCCTCAAAAAGAAGGCCGTAACCCATCCACTCGGAGACGATGATATCCACCTGCGGGACGGGCAGTGTAACTTCCTCGATCTTGCCACGGATGCACCTAAATTCTCAGATATCAGCTCGTGTCTGTCGCAGTAGATGAAGGCGAACACTTACGTTATGATGTCTCCGAAGCCGTTCTCATAGATGATCTCCTTGGCTCTGTCAATGATGTTCGAGTTGTCAACGGAGATGACCTTGCGAGCACCAGCCTTGGCGCAGAACATGGACAGAATTCCGGTTCCGCAACCTACGTCCAAGACAACCTTATCCTTGAAAACATGCTTGTTCTCGTAGACGAAGTCCCGGTAAGCTTCAGTGCGAACAGTGTCTTTGAGCATGGACTCGTGAATGCCTGGCGATTATCCTGTTAGTGGGGAAATGGACCATTAAGATGGCTGGATTTCAAAGACTGTACCATTGTATGAGTAGGAAACGAAGTAATCCGCATCAGCCTCCTCGATCTTGCTAGTAGTTCGTCGTGCAGTAGAAGCATTGGGGTTGGCTTTGAGCTTCTCATCCTCCTTGGAAAGTTGCTCTTCCATTGACTTCTGGACCGCGTCTCGATATTCAGAGAATTGTGTTTGGAGGCGCTCAAGGTCCTCCTGCAGCTCAATCACTCGCCTCTCGGCGTCCGTCTCTCCTGCAGCCTCAGGGCCTTCCTCGTCAATGTCATCCAAGCTGTACAAGAGAGCATCGTCTTCCAGGACCGGCATCAGGTAGAGCTCGTCGTCGAACTTATCCTTTGAGGAGACATCGGGAGACATGTTGCCCTGCTTGACCTGGGAACGGACGTAGTTGACCAGCTTGATAGTGCCCAAAAAATCCAAGTCTGCAATGCGAGTAGAATAAAAGTTAGCTATTCCACCTCCAGGCTTCTACATCCGGGATGAACAGCAATGCAAATGCATTTCCAGTGAGTACACACCGAACTCCTTCCGAATTGCTCGCAGGTCAAAGCTGTGCTTGTCCTTGGTTTCTTTCAACATTGACAGCACGTCGGGGTAGACTTTGTCGGAGAATAGGCCGACAACTGGCTGGGTCTCGTCATCGGGCTCGACATCTTCCCATCCTTCTTCATTGCTGATGTCGGACTCTTCAGAGGAATGAGAGCGCACGTCGTCCTCGACGGGTTCACGCTGCGATGCAAAAGCCGAAGCAGACATGGCGATAATTGCGGGGTATTGCAATAGTTTGCGCGGATGGCTTGATGGTTATAGAATCAGAATGTTTGAAGCCTATTTTCCAGAGGCTGGGCCGATTGCGCTCCGATCAAATCACACGAATTGGTGATACAGACACAGAGCTGAAGAGGGCGCGTTGGAGGAGCGTCAACTGAGAAAGAGGTGAGGTGAGGGGTACAAATTTCCCGTTTGCTTGCGGCGGCCGGAAAAGACAAACCGTCGAAAAAAAAATCGAAAAATCGAAAAATCGAAAATCGAACATGAGCGGGACGGGCAATTGGTTCCAAGTTGCCCCGCCTGCCTGTTTATTATCAGGGGGCCCAGAACGGCGATAAGAGTCAATCAAAAACGGAGGAGCCTGAGGCTTGGTCGGCTTCCCCGCCAACAGAAGCGTCACCGCCTCCCTCTAGAAGAGCTTCAGCTCTATCTCCCACTCACAGTCCCCTCCTCCACTCTGCGAACACAAACAAGCCCCCTCTTCAATCCAATCGCCTCCTTACTATCGGAATCGAGCCTCGCAATCTTACCACATTCTGAGTTTTGTTGTTTTGAGCTACATCCGAGCAGTCGGTTCCCCTGCACAGTGACCGCTCTTCTTCCCCCTCCAGACGCTGTTTTGGTTCCGCCGGCAATACAAACAATCAAGCATGGCCTTCTTCTTCAACCGCGGTCGATCCCGTCAGCCTTCTGATCTTGTCCGGACAATTAAAGACTCTCTGGCGCGGGTTCGGGAGGACCCCTCGACTGCCAAGGTTGGTTTCCAATTTGTGTATCCTCCTCTTAGTCTCGAGAGCAGTTCCGCGGCCGAACTGTTCTGACTTCCGCGACCCCGAATGCTTGCTGACTGCACTAACATGTAGGATGCGGAAAAGCCACTCTCTCAGATGAAACTGATCGTCCAAGGCACTCAAGGTTCGTGTGCTCGCATGAAGTTGCACCGGACTCATCACTCCTTTGTCTACCTAAATGCTTGGGGTCTCCAGAAACCCGGCTGATGTGATCCTTTGCAGATGTCGAAGTATCCCCTGAACAGGTTCAAAATTTAGTTCACGCAGCTCTTCAGGAGGATCTGCTTTATGACCTAGCTCGATGCCTTCATCTCCTGCCCTTTGAAGCTCGAAAGGACACCCAGGCCATCTTCTCGCATATGCTTCGTTTCAGGCCTGCCAGTTCGAGCACAAATCAAAATGACCCTCCGGTCATCTCTTATATAGTCCATAACCGACCTGAGGTTATCATTGAGTTGTGCAAGGGTTATGAGCACAGCGAAAGTGCTATGCCATGCGGCATTATCCTGCGAGAGGCGTTGAAGTTTGACGTCATCGCGGCTATCATCTTGTATGATCAATCAGGTGAAGGAGAGCTAGCGATCAAACTCACAGAAGTTCAGCCCGGCGTCCCCCAAGACGGGACTGGAATCTTTTGGCGTTTTTTCTACTGGATAGACCGCGGCAGTTTCGAACTGAGTGCCGATTCCTTCACAACCTTCCGGGTAACAACTGTCTATCGAACCTGCTGGCAATAAAAAGAATGCTAACACGATCACTCTAGGACATATTGACCCGCCACAAAACTCTAGTAACAGGCTACTTGTCGACTAACTTTGATCGATTCTTTGCGAAATTCAACGAGGTACTTGTGAACTCCAGCTCATATGTGACCAAGCGGCAGAGCATCAAGCTTCTGGGCGAGATCTTGCTCGATCGGGCCAACTACAATGTCATGATGGCCTATGTGGAGAGTGGAGACAATCTGAAGCTCTGTATGAAGCTACTGCGAGACGATCGCAAGATGGTCCAGTACGAAGGATTCCACGTGTTCAAAGTAAGGCAGACCGGGCCTTCCTGGCCGACGAACGACGGACGGCATGCTGACGAAGAATGTATCGCAGGTATTTGTTGCGAACCCAAACAAATCCATAGCCGTACAGCGAATTCTTATCAACAACCGCGACCGCCTATTGAGATTCTTACCTCGCTTCCTGGAGGATCGGACTGAAGATGATCAATTCACAGATGAGAAGAGTTTCTTAGTCCGCCAGATTGAACTTCTCCCCAATGAGCCGATTGAACCAACACGCTCTGCCCGTGAACCGTCCAGGTCCGGCATCAACACAGCTGCCGTGGCTTGAACAGCTAGACCGTGAGCCTGTCATCTACCACTTCATCTTTTGCTGTGGACAATCTTTGGCCCTTGCCGGGTCTTTTTGTTTGGTTTCTTTGTTTTTTCTTTCCCCGCATTTACTCACCCTTCTTTGGTGAACTCTTTGAGCTTGGTGCGAAGGGCTGCATACATTGAATGTATGCTACGGTTGTGTCGTGTTTGCATGGAAGGTCAGCAGGCATCTGACCTTGGCGGAGTTACAACGGTTGGGTCATTTATGGAAGACTATATCAAAACGACGAGCAAGGCGGATGACAGAAGGAGGCAATGGACAGAGCAGGCAATGGGCGATGAGATTAATGTATAAAGGCTGCAGTGAATCCTTGCATTGGGGCAAGATGGGATCTTCAGCAAGAAGCTGAGTTCTAGTAAATATTAAAGCCACTGAGGTGGATCTGAACCCTCAATGGAAAAAGAAACCCGAGCTTAGAACCCGCTGATTGCATCACGAACATGGCGACAATTTTGGAGCTCCTGGCTGATTGGAAAAATTTTTCACTTCAAGGGATGGGAAAAGAAGACGTGGGAGAAGTAAGTGGGTGGGTATCAACAACCCTCTGTTCTCCCTTTCTCGCCCGGCCAGATGCACACTTCAGTGGCTGCTGCGCAAGGAGATGACACGGCAGAGGAAGCTGGGGAGCTCTTTAAACTCAAGGCAAAGATACATTGCTGTAGATACGAGTAGATCTAAGCTTGATCAGAGGTGGTGCGTGCGCAGCCGACGGAATAACTCAAGAGAAGTATAGACTCAATGAAACAGAGAGAGGTTCGGTTCCATCAAAACACTCATCAGCCACCAAATGCCTCTGTTGTTCTTCTCTTTCTTTGTTCTCTACTCCTCTCTCATTCCAATTGCAGCCAGCTTCAATTCAAACGCGACAATCCCAGGTAGATAACTAACAAGCTAGTCAACCGTATATTATTAGATAACTGTGAAGATCCACAGTTGCGTGGCCCTCCCGAGGAGTTAAAGCAGACTAAAAATTGTATAGTGGATCGTCGGCCTCCTCGTCGCCCGCCCTCCTCTTCTCTTGCATCTCCTCTCCTCTCCTCGCACTAGGTTAACTCTTTTCCTTCTCCATCTCCTTCGGTTTCCTCCCTTCTATTTGCCAACCCTGCTGTGAGCACTGTTCGTCTTGGTCTTCTTCTCTGGATTAGCTGAATGCGCTACCTTTTTTTCACTTCAATGAGGCGAGAATTGCAGAGCAAGGTAGTGTTGCTAGCTAACAAGAAGTGAGCGAAGTGCGCGCGCGCATTGCTGGACTGAACTGCTTCTCTACTTTTTTTACTCACTACTACCACTAACTTACTACTTATTTACTGGCTGGGGGCCTTTTTTCCTTTTCCCCTCCCATCCTCTCTCCCCCCTTCGCTAATAATTCCGTTCCATCCTCCCTCGACACAGACCAGAGAGCAGCGGGTTTATCTCCCCTTTAGCCACACACATTCCGTGAAATACCACCTCTTCTCACCCCCTCTCCTTCTCCCCCGACTTTCGATTCCTCCCTGGATTGCTGAAGCTTGTCCTGCCGCCAAGCACCCTTTCAGGAACTGCGGACCAGCCGTTTTGAAGTGGGAATTCCGCAAGCAACGCCCGCCCCAGATTTCACTCCTTCTCTCCTCCGTCGCTTTGTTGCCAACTGCCATGATTTACCGCGCAAGAGACCTGATTTCCCACCGTTTGTCGCTCCTTTCCCGTCCTCAGGTCTCATAAGTTTAATCTCTATTCTATTCATACGATTTCTATAATCATCAATTCCATTGAAGTTCCAACTGCGCCCCCCCCCCACCCCCCGGTTCTAATTCAGTCCCTATCCGCTCCTTCATCTGCGATCCAAATTCGAATACTACATACAATCAATCAATCGACCGCCCCGCCGGCCGCCGCCTCTCTTGGCTAACGTGCACGAACACAAACACAAACACAAATACATACACATACACATACAGATACACATACTCAGCTTCGGCTGCAAGATCTTTCCCAAAGGAACAAAAAAAACACTACAAATTAATAGAATAATAGGGCGCAAGTCATGCCGGGATAATGGTGGATAATCGGCCCGTTTCTGTACCTTCCGCCGTGATGTCCGAATCGACCTCGGCAATCCACAGCCTTCCCTACGATAAGACGGTTGCTGCGACAGTCCCAGTGACACTCCGATCTGCGTCGTTCCCCCCACCGAGTAATCATTCCTTCTGCTCAGAGGACCGATCGAATTCATCCAGTACCTCGTCCGCTGCCCCCATCGAACAAGCCCCACCCGCCCTATCACAACGGACCACTAGACGCGGCAGAAACAGGGTGACAACCCTGCCAGATGCCGGTGCTTCAACCGTGAGCTTGCGGTCATTGCGCAGTATACCCAGCATTATCGTTGATGATACGGCGTCGCGTCCTGGTTCGCGTCCAGGATCTCGTCCAGGATCTCGTCCCGGGTCACGCTGGTCGGAACGTAGATGGGGTGGCTTAAGGGGTAGAAAGTCAGGGGATTTCGATCGGGATGAAGATGACACACCGCCTGTTCCTCCTATTCAAGCCCCGTTCAACGGAATCCCCTTGGACATCCCGAACGCCGCACTCGATGGTCTAGGACCGCAATCAATGAGGTTTTCAAAGCGTGGCAGCCTCATCAAGGAAGAGGAAAGACGTCAACTCCAACAGCAAATTCAGCAGGCGGAGGCAAAACAACAAAGAATCGCGCAGATGGAAGGGGCCGACCAACGATTACAGGAACATGTGCTGGAAGACGATAGCGATACGGCTTTACCAGCCATGACTTCGCCAGATCTGAATGTCGCAGACGAAGAACCTTTAGACTCCCCTACGAGGCGCTCCAAGCCGCAAGCGACGCTTAGGGTGAGGCATAGCGCTATTGCCAGCAGAGCCATCTCTGCAGATGAAGACATGCTGTCGCGTCGAGTGCGCTTAATGTATGAGAAGGGCGACGAGAATGTGACGGATTCGGAGGTAGCAAGGTCCATGGCCGCGGAGCACGGCGTTTTGTGGGAAGACACCGCTCCCCCGAGCATGGACTGCGCCCGTCTGTCAGGACCCAGCGTGTCCGGAACGGATACTCGAAGTATAGTGTCGTCGCTCGGGACGGACGGTGTCCCCGGATTCAAGCGAGAAGCACACGAGCTTGCGGGAGGCATTGAGTATTGGCAGAACATCAAAGCTGGCGATGTGGACCGATACGGTTTCATTCGGTCCCCCACGTCTAATTCCAATGAAGGCATCGATCCTAGTCCCATTCAACGCGTCTCTACAAGCCTGCTTCTTGCCTCTGAAACCCCAAGGCGCAAGTATACTATGCGCCCGCCTTCGGCAATAGGTCCCAATCATCGCTCCTTTACAGGCCGATCTCCGACTCGAAAACTATCCGAGCCGTCAATTCGTCCGTCATCTTCTCAAAGTACCTTCAGTTCACCGTTACGGCGTTCCACCACACGGTTTCGTCGGGCAGCTAACCATCTTCCTCACAACCGGACTCGTCGAGTCAAGGACGAGGCGGGCGACATGCTCACGCTACCCACGAACGCCGTCACTCCTGGGGATCGACAAGACTCAGCTGCTGCTCGCGCAGCAAGAAAGAAGGAATGGGAGAGAGAAGACAAATGGACGAAGATGGCCAAACCAATCAGGAGTAGTGATGGAGGCGGCATGACATTTGAGTTCGACACGACTAGCTCAAAGCTGATCGAACGGACATGGAAAGGCATACCTGACCGATGGCGAGCTACCGCTTGGTATGCCTTCCTAGAAGCAAGCGCCAAGCTGCACAGCAACAGTCCATCAAAAGAGGAGCTCATTGAGGCATTCAATGAATACCAATTGATGTCTTCCCCGGATGATGTCCAAATCGACATTGATGTCCCCAGAACAATAACCAGCCACATAATGTTTCGTCGCCGCTATCGTGGCGGCCAGCGGCTGCTATTCCGCGTGCTGCATGCGATGTCTCTCTATTTTCCGGATACAGGCTACGTCCAGGGCATGGCAGCCCTTGCTGCGACGCTGCTTGCATACTACGACGAAGAACATGCATTTATCATGCTTGTTCGACTCTGGCAACTGCGGGGCCTGGAGCGGCTATATCAGTCCGGCTTTGCGGGCCTCATGGAGGCTTTGAGTGACTTTGAACGAGAATGGCTGGAGAAAGGAGAAGTCGCTGCAAAATTGGTAAGTGGCGCATACGTCTTTCTCGCACCGCGCGCTATGCTAATGCAACACCCATCACAGGAAGAGCTTGGGATTCCACCTACAGCGTACGGTACTCGCTGGTATCTCACGCTTTTCAACTACTCCATCCCATTTCCCGCGCAGCTCCGGGTATGGGATGTTTTCATGCTGCTCGGCGACGCAGAGGATCTTACTGCGACTGGGTCCTCCATCAGAAGCGGTAAGAAGGCTCACGTCAGCGCATTTGGCAGCGGATTGGATGTTCTTCATGCTACCTCGGCAGCCCTCATTGATGGTATGCGTGACATCGTGCTCGAGTCTGATTTCGAAAACGCAATGAAGGTCCTCACCAGCTGGGTCCCCATTAAGGATGTGGAATTGTTCATGCGTGTTGCCAAAACCGAGTGGAAAGTGCATCGTCGAAAGAAATTATCTTAATCGTCTTTACCCCTTCACAACCGAGCCTCATCTGTGAAATCCGCGAGTCGCGGATATGATGACCCCGGTGGCTTATGTCCCCACCAACCCGACCTCTACAACCACTTTTTAAAACCTAATCTAATGTCTAGGTTTCTTCCTGAGTTAAGGGTAGCATGGCTGCTACCCTCTGGCCCGGGATGGAAGTCCCTCATAATTCTCTGATGACTCAAGCGGACGATTCTTGATGATTAAAGAAAAGTCGTTGTGCAATTAATCACATTTATCTATACCTGTTTTCCCCTTCGATCCCTCCTTTGCCCGCTACTTCGTCCGCTTCCAGAGCGCACATGACGGCGTCACCTCTG